GCAAGAAGGGGGGGATGAGGGGGGAGGACGGGCAACCGCAGACTTCACAAAATGGTGAAATCCTCGCCCCTCAAAAAAAAAAAAAAAAAAAAAAAAAAAAAACAAAAAAAACTTAGCCAGGCGTAGTGGCGTGTAATTTCAGCTACTCAGGAGTCTGAGGCAGAAGAATCGCTTAAATCCGGGAGGCAGAGGTTGCAGTGAGCTGAGATTGCGCCTCTGCACTCCAGTGGGGGACAGAGTGAGACTCCATCTTAAAAACAAAACAAAACAAAAAACAACCTGGTGTAAAACTGTTGCTCTTTTCTTCTTTGGTTTTGAATTTTTCATTGACCCAGCACTGAGAGGAGATAGATGGAACAAGCCTTGTCTCATGAATGACATTTAAGAGAAGGATGTGCAGAGCCTTGTATGTCAGCAGAAGAGCTGAGCGGTAAAGGGTGATGGAGCCTGCATGGATGGATTGGCTGGATGCCTGCCTAGATGTGTAAAGGCCAGTCATACTGAGAGGGGACCAGACTGATTTTGTTAGTTCCAGAAGTCATAGTTAAGATAATTTTTTAAAATAAATTGAACAGTGGCAGATTTTGACTTGAAAGATACTTTATTATGACTGCAGCTGCTGTATGGCCATAGGCTGCCTTATGAATTCAGTTTTCACAAATTATTTTCAAAGCCAGTAGTAGATGAGTGGGTCCCATCTTCAGAAGTTTCATGTTATATCTCATTGACCAATCTCAGTCTACACAGAGGAACCTCCAGACTTGCACATGGTCCCACCATGTACCCATCACTCCTGCCCCATAACTTGAAAATTCTCTAGGTGCAGCCGTGGCTGTGTGGACACCCTTACGGGCAGTCCCTTCTTGGTGCCATGTAGCCAAGTCAAGCTGATGGGAGGTGGCGACGTGTCCTCGGCCTTGGGGGATCTGCCACTGCTTCTCACTTTGGGCTGCTTTTTCTCATTTTTTTTCTTCTGCCACTTGACAATGGTTTTTATATCAAGGATGTGTGAAGTTGTCATCATTGTGTAGTCCTCCTCCTCTCCTGCTTGTCCTCTTTCATCCTGTGCTGTGCCCATACCAGCAGTATATACGTAGCCATCTGTATTAGTAACAGACCTTGTAGTACTTTCCTTCTGCCCCTTTCCACATAGGAGTTTCAGCATTCATGAAGTATAGGCCCAGAAGTCCCCGTCATCATGAAGATCTGTAGAAAACATTGAAGCTCACAAGGCAGATCTCTGCAGGCATTTGCCTCCTGCTCTATTCAGGAGCTGAATTTCTTATCTGCACCCTTTATGCCTCCTCCCCAAGTAAAAAATTGGAGTGGCCATTCACGAGGGGCTTCCAGGCCCTGTTAGCAGTTCTACTGTAGCCTGCGGTTTTAGGAGGAGGGAGGGAGGGAGATGGGGAGGTGGTAGCAAAGTAAGAGAAGTGTTAGGGTGTACATGGTTTCTAAGAGGTGCAAGCTGTAGGCATAAAATTACTGTAATTTGTTTTTAAAATTCTAAATCTGTTTTCTTTATATAAAAAAACTGTAGCTAGTGAACTGACACTGTTAAATAAGTTGAAGTGTACAAATGTATACATAAAATATAAGCCCGCCAACTGCCTAATCACAGACATAAAATAATTCTCTTGCTTTTAATGTAGTTTTTATCTTTGATTAATGAAATGCATTACAGTATTGAAACTTTAGTGAAGTTTGATACTTTGTCCTTTTAGTTAGTACAAAGAAATCAGGAATAATGGCATAATTTCATTTAGGAAAATTATTAAGTTCATGATTTTTTATTTTTAAGACTCTTGTGGAGAGCAACTATATTTTTCAACTACTTTTTTCTCTCTCTATTGCTTTTATACTACTTTACTTGAAAGGCAAGCATCAAGTGTTGGTTTGTCCTGTGGCTTCACTTTGGAAATTTGCTCTTTCTCCCCATCAAGTTACCTCCTAAAGTCTGTCTGGTGGCATGTTGCATGGCCAGGTGTTCCATATGGAAAGACCATTTTAGTGAAAAGGAGAGAGGATAGTCTATTAAATGAGCGAATGAATAAGGCTGTTGAATTGAAAGAGAATAATTTGTTCTAATGACTAATGGTCCTCATTATCCCACAGTAAAATATGTATCATTTTTCTGAAACCCATGCAAGATTATTGCTATTGGGCTTAAATAAAGCAAAATTTTACTCTTTTCTATCTGTGAATAGGAAAAAATACAATATTACTCTTTTTATACAATAGCCCTATGGGAAACATGGCCACTAAAACTTGAAACTCTTAGCTTTTGTTCTCTATAGATTTTTCTCTCTTTCTCATTCTAATGAAAGCTCTTCCGTATTCTGTAAATGAAATATTCATAGTATGCTCAAACATCCAAATAGTCTTCTCTATACCTAGCAGACTAGGCCAGTGACGAGAATAAAGTTCATTCTTGAATTTCACCTGTTAATAAATTTATGTTTTATGTATAACGGTACTTAGAATTACATGTAACATCTT